CATGGAGGTGAGACAAAACAAGAGACAAATGCTTAATAAATCAAATTGTTTCTTGACTACATAAATATAATGATGACGATACAAAGGTACAGAGAGAATGTGATCAGGTAGAACAATGAGCTACAAGAACAAAGCCGTTTCCTTTTATACTGGTGGCTCTTTCCTGTCAAACAGATCATATTGATGTTTTGTAAAGGTGTGTGACAACATGAACACCTGGAAAGTTTATATTTCACAAGCTTGTTAAACATTAATACTAATGAAGTAATAACTATAAAGGGTTATTATCTCCGTATTGGATCGTTCAATAAAAGAGTCACAAATACCGGAATAAACACTTAAGTGATCTAGATGGAATGTTTGCGTGTGTGTGTGTGTGTGTGTGTGTGTGTGTCTACAAATATTAACAAAAACAACAAATAGGTCTATAATGTTTAAGTCTGGAGCATCTTGCAGTGTGCTCAGTACTTGAGAGAAAAATGGTGCTTTTAGAATCAAGTATCATGTGCTCTTAAAGAGCAAGTCACCCCCTACCAGAGTAGTACTCAACTCCCACTTCCTGTATGAAAAATGCAAAAAATGCTGTTGCATAGCAGACCGAGAGGGCGGAGCCGCTAACAAATACACACACACGCACACACACACACACACACACACACACACACACACACACACACACACACACACACGCACATGCACACGCACGCACACGCACACACACACACACAGACTCACAATGACATTGTGACATCATATGGTACCAGCTAACATTCTAGGGTACCTCTTAGCCAATAGTGATGGCAGATTTAAATTCAAATGCAGTGCAGAGTTTTTACCTGACAACGGCACAACACTGACAGTTGGAGGCAAGGTTAAAATGCACTAAAGTGCAAAACCATTGACTACACATGTCTGCAGCATGATTAGACATGCATTTATATATCTTTAGTGTGTTCTTGCTGTGTTGAAATTCTAATTCCATCCTTTTAGTTCTTTTTAAAACACAGAAAGGTTTTATTTACCTGCAACGTTTCAATGTTGCAGGTAAATAAAACCTTTCTGTTTTAAAAAGAACTAAAAGATGGACGCATTTATATAGTTTCTCAGAAAAAAAAGGTTGATTTGGGGGTGACTTGCTCTTTAAGGACAAAAAGACTCACTCCAATGGAAATTAAAATATTTATTTTTTTAATTAGGAAATAATTTAGAATGAAATAATCTTGAGCATGAGGACACCAGACATCAACGTTAATATATAATTTTGTAACACTACAGTTCCTCTCTCCACAGTTTGGATCAGACTGGACGGTGTACTTAACTAAGCTGGATGGATCCTACAAAGAGACTCATCTCAGTGAACTGTTGCCTTTTGCATTTTCTCCTGCACACCTCACAAAGAACTAATCAAACTGCCGCATCTTCCTCTGATCACAGAAAAGTTTCAGTGTCAATGTACGAGGCCAAAAATTAAAGAAAAACATTTTGTTCTGGGGAAATTATAAGCCTGTTTCCACTATCAGAACTTGCAGCTGCTTTTATTGGACCTTCATGGGAGGCACGCGTCACCTTTGTAACTGTTTGGCCACTTTTCAAATCTTTTCAGGAAACAACCAATTACCTGAACTGGGGATGTACTCAGAAATAGCCCAGGAGAGTCACTGGGCAGGACTTGTGGTGAACTCATTGGTTGTAAAACAAAGACATCAGCAGATGTTGCCAAACAACAGGGGTGGACTGGGACCAAAATTCGGCCCTGGTATTTTTACAAATTGTCGGCCCTCCCCATTGGGAGAGCGGTGGAAGTGGGGGGACTCGTCTCTAGGCCGAATGTGAAATCTAATATGGACTGGGACTGTTAAATTACAAGCAGGTTCTGACTGCTGTGACCGGGAGCCCTGGCCTTCCAGATCAGCTCATTCTCCAGGGGCGGAGATCAGCGGGACATTAGCTACATGCTAACGCGGTAAAACAACTCCTACGTCATCGCTCTACCGTGTTTTTCTTGCTAAAACTGCCTGGAAAAACTCTGTTAGCTTCGGGTTACCATGTAGCTAATGTTCTGCAGATCACCAAGTGTGGAGTAGTGTCGGCCCAAGCTGGGCAAGCAGCCCACTTGGCTAAGCGGCCCACCGGGACAGTGCCAGAATGCCAGATAGGCCAGACCACCCCGCCATCCAACCTGCATTTGTAAAATTGGAAGAGTTGCTGGTGAAATTGAATGGAAGAAACAGAAAATGCATAGTTTTGATGCCACTTTAAAATAGCGGTTTCTAAAGTCCCAATGAGAAAAAAATGCGTTGAATTCACTCACAGTGCCGGGATTGACTCTGTTTTGCGGGCTCCCACAGAGTGCTGTAAAACAGATGTTCCTTCAGTGAATTGAACGCCGTTTTTTTACATCACACAACTTTTCTTCCCGTCAATGATGACAGAATGACAGAATAAAAACCTAAGTCCGTTGACACATTTTGGTGCTGATAAGTGATGTCACTCACTGTCAAAACGGTCACAATGACATCTTACCAAAGTCTATAAAGGGCCCCTTTCATGGAGACACAACGGGTGAAGGGCCAACGCCATCGTACTTTCCCAAAACGCCTATAGTGGAAACACGGCTCTTTGTGTTTACTGTTTTTTTTTATCATTTTAGTTGCTATGAATGTGAACTTTGCGTAAATTACCAAACATGTTTCCTACAAAAATGCAGGTCAGAAAGGTGAACAATTTCCTAAACCACAGAGATGAATTGTTTTGCTTCGATTTTCTTCAAAATGTTATTTGAAACGACTAAAACAGAAAAGTTACACCATGGTGCTTGAAGCGCTTTCAGATGCATGGAAGTTTTTTATAGTTTCTTGTTACTTGATTTACACCAAATGTAAATTACCTAAAAACTGGTTAGAAAACTCATGTGTTATACTGCAAAAAATAAAATATAAAATGATTAATATTTTTATTGTTGTTGTTTTTGTTGTCATTGTTAAATTATTTTTGCTCATATGAGTGATCAAATCATTGTTGGGCGATGGTGGCACGGGAGTTAAGTGCTCTCCACGTAATCATAAGGTTGCAGGTTTGAGCCCCACTCAGTCTGTCACTGTCGTTGTGTCCTTGGGCAAGACAATTAACCCCCCCTAGCCTGCTGGTGGTGGTCGGAGGGACCGGTGGCGCCAGTGCTCGCAGCCTCGCCTCTGTCAGTTCGCCCCAGGGCAGCTGTGGCTACATCGTAGCTCATCACCATCAGTGTGTGAATGTGTGTGTGAATGGGTGAATGACTGATTGTGTTGTAAAGAGCCTTGGGGGGGTTCCAGGACCCTAGAAGGTGCTATATCAAATACAGGCCATTTACCATTTACCATTTATTTCTGATTAACTTTTTTTTAACATAACGTGTGTTGTTTTCAAATGTTCCCAAGTTGAAATAATTAGGTCAAATTTACAAAGTGGCCATTATGTTATAGTCAAAATTTCAACTATTTCTTGTTTTCAACACTTCGGCCTTCTGAGGAAATATATTTAATCAACTTAATTACCATCCTTGCAAAATATTGTATTTATGAGATGAAATAAGTGAACAATTGTCATCATTTCATACCTTTAACGAAACTGACTTAAAAGCATATTTTGCTTTTATTGAAAATCTTAATTTATTAAATCAGAAGCTTGGAGGAAAAAAATCATCCTTTTGCTTTTCTGCACATTTTTTGTGAGTGCATTCTTTATAATTTATATGACACATTTCATACAAATATACTGGATGTTTGTACTATATATGGTTTTGCATTTATCAATAAATAAAAAAGTCAAGCGTGTTGTGTCACGTGATCCAAAGTAGGAGTGTCTTAACAGTTTCCCGGAAACATGGAGGCTGTTCTGAGTGATATTGTAGCGCCGGAGGACCTTTTAGTAAGTTTTCGCTTTATTAAACCTCCTTTTATGAATGAAATACGCCTCTGAAGTAATTATCGACTCCTGTGCGTGTTACTGTAGCCTATTTTTTGTCATGCTAATCATTTTAAGTTTGCTAAATTAAAACACGTCGAAACGTGTGTTGCGTCACGTAGCTAGCTAAAAGCTAACGCACTTGTTTTGATGTAAATAGTGGTCCTTTGTTGTTTTTAATTCACGGTAAAATAAGTTGTAAACGCCTTTGATAGTTTGGAAGTGTTACATGTTGGTACCGAAGTGAGTATTTCACCTTAACCCCACTGGAAATGGTTCATAACATGTTAGAAACCTTTAAGGGAGGTGAAATGTCAGCTAAGCAGCATGACTCGTTTATTTTCTACTGACCACAGATATAATGACGTCATGGTCTCTATGTAAACCTTCCCATTTTTGATGTTGTAGAAATTTGAGAAGAAATACAACAACGAACTAACAAAGGGAGCAGTCTCCAAGGAAACCAAGTTTGAATATGCCTGGTGTTTGATCAGGAGCAAATACTCAGAGGACATCAGGAAGGGAATTGTGCTGTTGGAGGGTGAGTTCAGGCTCTGGTCCTGTTGTTGGGCATGCAACAACACCTGGGAGGTTTTATTTATTTAGATAATTCTATTTGATTTTAACTTTAGTTCTTATAAAAAGTAGGGATGTGTATTGGTGAAATTCTGGCAATACGATATGCATCACGATACGGGGGAGACGATACGATGTACCAAGATATATTGTGATACATTCAGCCAGATAATAGTAGCAATTTTTTTAGACTGAGTCTATTGTAGGAAATTTCAATAAACTGTCCAAACGGATACTTAACATGTTTATCGTGATGTATCTGAGCCATAATAAAGAGATTTACCTTTCAATAGTGGAAACAAAACCCACTGCACACTGCTGCCAACTAGAAGTCGGCGTTTGAATTGCACCAAAGGAAATGAAAATACACAAATGTTTGCATGTGAATTCTTTCCAAAATTCGATACACGGCTTTCGAATATCGATATAATACTGCAGGAAACAATATCACGATATATTGCCATATCGATATTTTCTTACATCCCTAATAAAAAGTATAATTTAAAGTCACAACAAGGTAACTGTGGTATAATCAGGCGTTTAAAGAACAGCAGCAATCCTTCAGTTTACATCATAAGGCTTTCTGTATTTACATCTCCTTTATTTGTTAAAAATGTGTTTTTTTAAAGAATTTTAAATATTTTCCATGTTGCAGAACTGGTTCATAAATCATCAAAGGATGACTCACGGGACTTCCTGTTCTACCTTGCAGTGGCCAACTACAGACTCAAAGTGAGTGAGACTATTTTATATTTATTTATTTTGCACAACAAAAAACTCTTTTATTCGCAGAAGGAAAAAAGAAACTTTCCATCTGTGTTTCAAAATGTTTGCTTTCTCATAAACTGGTGTGTGTGATTAGAGGTAACAGGTACGGGGGCCTGCAGCAACCAAAATACCTTAGATCTATCATGAATCTTTCCCTGCTCACTCATATGAGCAAACACTCGCCTTCACAATTTTAGTAACATGAGCTTAATGGATGGGTTGACATAATCTAAATAGCATTTCAGGATTATTTTTTATTTAACTGCTCAAGAAAAAATATCAATATTATAATGAAAGGATTGATATGGTCCACCTCTATGCCTGATTAGGTATTATTTACACATTCAGCTGTCCGACTGACTTAGCCTGGCAAGCCAGACTAAATAAATGTATTATTTAGTCTGGCCATGCTCCATTGACAGCTCTCGGTTCTGGGGCGGGTTCTACCGTTGTCTTTCAAATGATCTCTGCATTCCACAGGACAATGAATGTGACATACTCTTGTTTCACTCTGTTGCATCATCCCACCCACCAGGCATATATAGAGTGCCATGATTGGCCCACAAAGCAGATAAAGCTCTGTGATTTGTTCACTAAGCAGATAGAGCACTATGATTGGCCCACCATTATGGACCAGCTCTTTATGTGTTTGAAACCCCTCTAGAGAGCTGTGATTGGCTAGCCAGAGTCCTGGTAAGAGCTGTGGAGGTTCCAATGGAGCATGCCTAGACCAAACTTTGCAAAGCAAGAATTTGGTCTAGTTCACTAGGCTACGACTGACTAATAAGTAAGTCAAAATTTTTATAGAGTCCAGGGTTTTCCAGCCGGGGGGGGGGCTTGGGGAGAAATTATGACACGTCTCTAAATAAAGTAAAATTTTCCAGTGCAGATTGGAGACAAACCATAGAAGCACTGATTTGATCTAATTTCAGAGAAAAATAGAACAGGTTAGATGCACCTAATAAATAAAATTACTAACAAACTCAGGAATCTTTCTTTGCTTCACTGTTCTGGTGCTGAGAATATCACTAATGCGGATCAAAGGAGATACACAGATTAATGCACCTCTTATTTATTATTTGGAGACTACATTTACTGCAGCTGGCAGAGGCAGAGATTTTTTCTATTGATACACGGAATTTACAGAATCATTTTAAATTTTAATAGGGGAAGACTGCAGGAGGGAGCGGTAAAATACAGGGGGTCCCCAGCAAAAACAAGAAACTACGAGTCTGATGAAACCCGCTGGTTTTCCATCAGGCAGTCACGGGGCAGCTCCAACGACCCAGTGGCTGTGCTGGGTCAGTTATTGAGCTCAGTCCGGCTCGGCCGTGAACGAGCCGAGGCGACGTCGTGCTCTGCTTAAGAAGAGGTGTTATTTTCCTGCTTCAGAAGAAGCGTCCAACGTGCTTTTATGCTTTCTCCGAGACATGTCACGTCACTAAGTTGTTAGTGCCGCGCACTAACACGTCAATAGTGCAGCGTAGCCTGCTGGAGGTTTTAAGGGTTCAGATGAAAACACCCGACCTCTCAGGCTGCTCACACATCGATCTTAAGTTGTCGCTGTTGCGCTCACATTGTAATACATTGTTAGATGCGGTTAAAGTCAGACACGAAACAATAAATACATTTTACATGAATAAATGATGCTTAGCCTGGTGGGGGGAGGGAAACCTGGCCTAATAAGCACAGGAGGAAACCCTGGCAAGATCGTCAACACTCGTTTATCTTAATGCTATTGAAACATGTAAACGTAAAATCATTATATCCACTGCTACCTTTCTAATTTTAAACTCAGTAACTTATGCTGTAACTTCACCTTGCCCTGCCTGCTCCTTGCTGCCCGCCGGCTGTGATCACAAGCGACAACATAGTAGTTCCCGCTGCTTCTTCGGGAAACAGTGCAAAAAAAAAACTTGGGATCTTGTAGGCGTGGCGGTGGGTTTCCTGCTGTGGCGGGCCGCCACGGCTACACCTATGTAAGGGAAACTCTGGAGTCCCTTTCACTTATGTAAATATGTCAGAAAGTGATGTACAAAGCAGATAAAATCAGGGGAAAACAATGTAAGTAAAGTGAATCCAGATTAAAACAGTAGTAAAAAGAAGCATATGAACAAAATCAGGACTGGTTACAGATGGGGTGCTGGTGGTGGCTGAATGTAGGGATGCACCGATACGATACTGGTATCGGTATCGTATCGGTTTGGATAAAAGTGGTATCGCTGCATCCCTAGCTGAATGTTTGGAGACAATTTCAGCGTGGCAGACCACAAATGGGTAAGAGAAATCTTGGCAGTAAAATTGTGAACAAACGTTATCAAATTGTTGCGTCATACACATGGCGTGACCTGGCCATATAGAAAACAGTTCACAAAGGTGTCAAATCCCCCAATTCAGTGTGATTCCAACTGGAAATGTATGGATTGTCTCATATTATGGTATCTCCGACTAGTCACCAACAGTCAGAGGAAAGCAGTTTTACGTCACTTACGGCTGATTTATACTTCTCCGTCACCTGGGGAGCGTTTTAAATCAATTCCCCGCAAAGACAACGGAGGGCGTAGCACTGTCCTGCCACCAGTACAGTCATGGATCCGGTCCAAAATAGTGTATTCACTATTGCATTAACATTGTTTCATGTATTTCAGAGACTTTTTAATGGCGTTGCGTGACTTTGTACCTACATAGACGGAGAAGTGTAAATCAGGCTTTACTTGACCGTGGCTATGGTGTTGGGTGTGGAGGCATCTTCATGTCATTTTTATTGTTCATCTGTCTTTTATGTTGGCCGTAAAAACGCATCAAAGCTGTTGGATCTACCTTTGACTCATAGCTGTGCAACAACAGGGACAATCGGCTGTAAACAGTAAAGCTGGTACTGATGTTATGACCCAGTGGAAAGGAGAAATTAAACACTCAGCTGTGTGTTTGTAAAGTTTTGGCAGACAACCACTGAAGCAGGCTTCCATGAGAGGATGTAATTATTGGATGTGTGTGTTCTTCACCTTCTGGTACAGCGGCGTGCCTGTCTCTGCTCTCTCCTCGACAACTTTTGAAGATAACTAATCAGGTTTTTATGGTCTGCAGGTCATAATGATCCCGTGTTGTACTTCAACTTTGCGTGCAAAGCGAGATTACCGTGAACTATCTCAGTGACACGCTTCATCCAATCTGCTCCAAGTTTAAATCGAGTCTCATTCATTTTCCAGGAGTACGAAAAGGCCTTGAAGTACATCCGGACTCTCCTGAAGAACGAGCCGGGAAACAAGCAGGCTCTGGAGCTGGAGAAGCTCATCGACAAGGCTATGAAGAAAGGTAAACAGGGAGGAATGTAGAGCCACTAGATGGAAAACTGCTTCTTGAAGCCGATGTCTGACTGTTTTTGTTTTATTGTCTTCAGATGGTTTGGTTGGCATGGCGATCGTCGGGGGGATCGGTCTCGGCGTGGTTGGCTTAGCGGGCCTCATCGGCTTGGCGGTGTCAAGGGGAGCAGCCAAATCCTAACCAGGACTGGTGCTTCATGCTGGACTTATATACTGAGCTGCACAAAACACACATAAAGTATTAAAAGTGCTAAAAACAAACCTAATGGGTTCTGGTTTGGAGTTCACAGATTTTATTTTGGATTCTGGTCACCCACTAAAAGCTTTTTCTACTTAAAAACTCAGTAGGAAAGGGACAGGTGTGCTTCTGTAAATGTGACTGAAACGCTGAAGAAAGTCGAGTTAGTCAGCTGGAGCTGGGAAGCTGTTGTCATGGGAACAGTGAGATTTTAGATCTATTATTTGTTTGAAGGAAGATTTACAGGAATGGGAGGCGCTAAGATATTGTCTTTTTGTGTTAAAATCATTCCTAAACATTTACCTTTGTTATATTTAATCACTTTGTTTTACAACTTGTTGAATAAAATAACAGCAAATCTGGGTTTTTGTTAGTGTATTTCACCCTTTTTAATCTCTTCAAGATAAGTGAAACAGTTTTGTTTACTAGTTCTGTGGCAGAACTAGCTGATTGTTGTTTTTTTGCTTTACCAACAATCAGTAATCCAAAGGCAAAATAAATAAATATATCTGCTGCATGGATGCATCATATCTAAAGTGTTGTTTTTATCTAAAATAACTTTAACTTGAATGTTTAAGGGACTTAAAATAAAAATACAGCAAAGGCCTCACGAATAAATTACAGACATGACATCACTGGCAAGACAAAAAATACAGTTCCCTGTTTGAATCCTTACCCGTCAGACTTCTACCAAACAGGATTAGGGCCACTGGAATAAAAACATTTTTAAAAGAAATCTGACTTTATGATAAATGACCCACACTTGCAGTGAGCCAAGGATCAGTGGACTCAGTGGTCTCCTTTAAAAAGCAGCTGAAGACTCACCTGTTCAAGCTGGCCTTTGAATGACCTTCTTCACCACTCTCTTTATTCTGCTCTCCCCACCTATTCCACCTTCCTCAGGATCCACTGATTTCCCTCTTCCCTATTCACTCTACATTTTTAATCACAATTTTCTATTTTTGCTAATTTTAAATACATTTTTAATTATTTTCCAAATTCTTTTTAAAATTTTTTGTTTTTGTGAAGCGCCTCGTGATTTTTATCTTGAGAGGCGCTATTGACATGATATTTTCTTCTAAGAGTCAGAGGACTCCAAAGCGCTTTACACTACAGTGTATCATCCATACACACATTCACACACTGATGGTGACGAGCTACAATGTAGCTACAGCTGCCCTGGGGCGCACTGACAGAGGCGAGGCTGCCGACCACCACCAGCCGGCAAGGTGGGTTAAATGTTTAGCCCAAGGAGCCAGGATCGAACCTGCAACCTTCTGATTACTGGACAACCCGCTCTACCTTCTGAGCTACTACTGTCCCACTAAGATTAATAATTCTGAGAATAAAGTCTGAATTCTCTTTATTTTCAGTGGCCCTAACTCGCCTAAGAAGGTTACTAAAAGTACATTTTAATATCTGCAAGTTTTTTTTCTTTTCATTTATTTTATTTTCTCCTTTTTAATTGTCATATTTTTTTAATTAGAATTTTTTTTACTTTAGTCATTTTCGTATATACCTTGTGATTTCTATCACAAGAGGCACTTTAACTTCTAAAACACATTTATCATAACGGGGTTCTAACTCCCATTAACACAGGCTAAAGTAAACATGTCTGAAGCACAACCTCCAGTTACGTCCAGCAAGCTTTTGGTGTAAAGTCACATGTTCTAACTTTTTCATGTGTAGATTTTTTACTAATATGCCCGCTTTGGGCCTTTTTGGAGGAGTACACGTGGATAAAAATCACCATGAAATCATTAACACATTTTTTTAATTAAAAAATGGGACATTTTTGTGTTCCCTGAGGACCTTTAACTTGATCCTTTTGGCCCTCTTCGCTAAAACTTTGGACATCTCTGTGCTAAAGACTCACTTAACCCTGAAATATGTTTGATATAATAAGTCTGCATTAAAATTTAGCAAAGGTTTTGATTTGACTCTTTAAAGCACTTCTCAAATGAAAACAAAACTAAGTGCTTGAATAAACTGATATAATAATACATAATTATAAAAGGCAATATTAACACGAGACATAAAAACATAGTAAAAACCAAAATTCACAACATATTAGAATAGTAAATATTTACCTTTACGCATTTGGACATCTAGATAAAACACTGCTAAAATAAAAAATTAATAAATATCAACTATTCAAACATATCTAGTAAGTTTAATGTTGTTTTTATATGTAGAAGGTGTTTTCTGTATTATATATATGTTTAAAATCTAAATGAACTAATCAGCTTTAGTCTGGTTGATAAAGGATTTAGTGGAATTTTACTAAATACTTTGAAAATGATTTGATTAGCAGATTTTTTGTGTAAATTTGCCCCCAAAAAAGTACTTTGCATGAAACTGAAATGTGTGCATTTTCATCCAAAGTCTTCAAGGGAGAGGAGGATAAGGATCAGCCTGTCCTCGCGCTGAAGTTCAGAACAACTTGGTACTGATCTGCTGTGTCCTTTTTCTGATAAAGTGACTAGTTTATCATCATCAAAGTGCTCCTGATTGTGTAAAAAACACTGGATTCTTTTGTTTTGCTACAGAAGTTTTATTCTGATTCTTTTATCAGCAGAAAGTGGGAATCCAAAAAGTGGACTTGTTATTATCCCCCTGAGAAACTGCAGCTTAAAGACTATAATTGTTCTTTTTATTTTTAAATTATATCTGTATGATAAAAATACTTGCATTACATGTATTATTTTATTTTCGCCAGAGCTGAGTGACACAAGATAAAAGTGCTATTTAGGGATGCGTTTTGGTGAAATTCTGGCGATACGATACTTATCACGATACAGGGGAGACGATACAATATATCACGATATATTGCGATACATTCAGTCGGACGATATTGGCGATTTTTTAGACTAAAATTATTGTGGGAAAATTCTATAAACGGTCCAAACTGATACTTAACATGATTAACATGAGGTATCTGAACCATAATAGAGGGATTTACATTTCAATGGTGGAAACAAACTCCATTGCACACTACTGCTGACTAGCGGACGGCATTTGATTTGCACCAAAAGAAAAGAAAATACACAAATGTTTGCACGTAAATTCTTCCAGAAAAATCGATACACAGCTTTTGAACATCGATATAATATCACAGGAAAAAATATCGCAATATATTGCTCTATCGATATTTTCTTACATTACTAGTGCTATTGTTTATAAAAGAAATGGAAAATTCCCATTTATCTAACCCAGCTTCCACTCAATTACTATGTAATTCCGGTCATTAGAGCCCTGATGAGTCGAAAGTCCAAGTTATGATTGCTGTTATTGTGTGTAGGCTGAAACGTGTTGGAAAGACTTGAGATCGGGGTGAGTGTGATGGAGAAACATGGCCTCCTGGTCCTGCTGGACGTCCATCAAACACATATCTTGATCCAAGGAGAGATTCAAGCTGCCGGCGGTGCTTTTACAACACGATGGCTATCAGCTGTATGTGGCGTTATCAGCTTCATGAGGCGTTACTCATTAACCAGCGTGACGCGACCGAAACTCCCCACAGAGAGGCCGACCTGGTGAGAAACGTGCCATTAGGACACACCAGTGAAAACCTTATTATTAAACCTTATAGTAACAACAAACCTTCCAACAACTCAGGCCTGAGTGAGTTGTGTAATGCGGATCAGCTCCAGTGAGTCAGAGGTACAGCGCCAACGTTCACTGGCTTTAACCTCCTGTCTGCGGGATATTAATGTGTAATCAGAAGTGGAAAAAACGTCTGAGAACATCGTGTGTTAACTAAGTTCTGCCATCACACTGTCATTTAGAGTTACTGTGTAATCCGACAGAGCTTTATTGTGTGTTGCCTCATATGGCTGAGGCTGTCATTTTCATCTTCTCTATGCGTCAGTTCTCCTTTTTTATCTTCTTCTTTGAATCAAATCAAAATAATGATGTTTATAATATTTCAAAAGGGTTTTGCACCAGCTACAAAGGTTGATATCATTGTTGCACTAAGCTAAAACACACACACTTTTATTTTGGATACTATTCATTTTTTGGTATTTTTTCCCCGTGTCCTGTCTGGCTGTGAAGCAAACAGAACTGATGTCTGAATGCAGGTGGAGCAACAAAGTTTCTGCTTTTAATGTCATGCCTGATACTTAAAACTTTATTGTTATTGTTTTTTTTGGATTCTTTTTAATTCCGACCAGACACGGCGACAGAGGTGAAAGAGGAAGGAAGAAACAAAAGGAAGGGAAGGGGGGGGGGGGGGGGGGGGGGGTGTCCACAAAAATAATCAATCACTAATGAACAAGAGTCTGCTTCTAGACCTGCAGAAAGAGAAAAACAAACAAACAAATAACGGGGGACACACAACAATACAACAGGAGCAAGCTATCGCTGCATCACCCTGATGAGGAAATATAAAATCAACATTGTTTTACTGAACAATCAAACAATAGTAAATCACAGTGCATTTAGTGCCAACCACAGCCTTAAGACATGTGTGGAACGTGCCCAAGTCCATACTTATGAGAGCATCATGTGAGCACCTGTGTGTGTACACGTGCTTGTATATGCAGGCGCGTTGCAAGCTTTTCAAAAGTGTGGGGGATGTTGTCTGTGCCTAAAATAATTTCATGTTATTCATCTTGTTAGTTTAATTTCCATAATAGCGAAGCAGGTGCGAATTTTAGACGCATGTCTCAGTTTTAAACATGTTTAAGAATACAAATCCAGGCTCTGTCTCGTTAGATTGGTGTAACTAAAGTTTGTACTGAATGAAACTTTACATTAGACCATGTTGAAAAGAAAAGGATCCGATTAAATTGTTTTCCCCTCATTTTACAGTCACGAAGTACAGCGCAGTGCGCATGGCTCTGGTGTTAATCAAGTTTAGTTGTTTCTCTTTGCAACAATCTTCTGATTTATTTTCTTAAACTTGTCCAGTTGACAGTTTAAGAAGTTTTTGGTAAGAAGGTTGGTATGAAGAATCTGATACTCCTCCTGTTGTGCAGTTTACTGTATTAGATTTATGGTACAACATCTCATTATATTGATTAAAACAACAAGAGATTCTAATCATATTTATTTAGTGCAGTGATGGTGCCCGTGGGGGGGGGGGGGGGGGGGTAAATATTAGATTTTTTTTTTTTACAATTTAATTTTAATTGAATGTGTGGATGTGATAATATTTAACATACAAAACAAAAATAATCAGGAATTTATCATATAGATAGTAAAAACTTAAACCAAAACAGGAAATTGATGTTAACCTTTGACCTCATTTTCCACCTGCGAACGAGTGAAAGGTAGAGCTAGTGGTAAAATGGATCGTTTTTTTTTTTGCCCAAATTTCCACGGGTTCAGTCAGAAACGAATGAATGTTTGGAAGTGATCTCAGACCCACAAAAACCTACGAATCTGGATGAAGAGAGTCAACCCTCAACCGCCGCAGCAGTCGAGGGTTTTGCTGCTGGAAATGCTAACACTAACGTTAGCTAACCTTGCAACACTATAGATGGTTTTCTGTGTGGCTGTATGTGTTTATGATTTCATGGAAA